GTGGCCTGAAATCGAGCGGAATTCAGTCGCACCGCTCTGTTGTGCCATCGTCGTCCGCGTGGTATCCGCGAAGGAACTTCGTTCACCCGGGGGGTCATCGCGGAATCATTCCGGTCCTGGCCGCCGGATCGATAATCATCTTCGTTCGCCTTGCACGCGTGTTACGGACGTATCAAACCCAGTCATCGATGGACACTGTGCGTCAAGGTTCATGTTCCTATGGCCGAAGAATGTCGCTGACAGCGTTGTTCCTGCTGGGCCCCGCGCTCGCCAACGGATTTCTATTCGGGTACACCTAACGTCGAACCATCCGCCGCTAGAACGGGGTGCCTGTCTAGTCCCGCTCCCGTTTTAAATTTAAATCGCTTCGCCTTCAAACAAACTTCGATCCGCTTCGCGAACGTTGGCAAGCTTGTCCTGCCGCTCCTGAAATACCCATAAGAGCGTCCGTTCAAGTTCAGGACTGAAAATATCTTATCTGATTCGTGTCAGTGGCCGCGTGTACCGGGCACGGCCGTCTAACACCTCTTCTGTTGTGTCTTCTCTTCCCTAGCTTCCGACCGGTCACGCCGAAGGACGAGGACAGGCGTTTCAACGTGTACTGGAACGTGCCCACATTCATGTGCCACAAGTACGGCATGCGTTTCGAGGAGGTGTCCGAGGTGTACGGGATCCTTCAGAACAAGATGGACGAGTTCCGGGGGGACAAGATCGCGATCCTCTACGACCCGGGGATGTTCCCAGCGTTGCTGAAGGATTCGGACGGTAAACGACGCGGCTCCTTGGTGCGCGTACGGTGTCCTGGGAAAGGATTGAATTCGCTTACTCTGATGTTCAGGACGGGTCGTGCCGAGGAACGGCGGCGTCCCGCAGGAGGGCAACCTCACCAAGCATCTGGAGATCTTTCGGAAGCACTTAACCGAGCAGATACCCGACGAGTCGTTTAACGGCGTCGGCGTGATCGATTTTGAAAGTTGGCGACCGATCTTCAGGCAGAACTGGGCTTCCCTTCAGCCGTATAAGGACTTCTCCATTGAGTTGGCGCGGAAACAGCACCCGTTCTGGAGCAGCCGGGCGGTGGAGCAGGAAGCGAGGCGCAGCTTCGAGAAGTACGGGAAACTTTTCATGGAGGAAACATTGAGGGCTGCCAAGGAGATTAGACCGTCCGCCAGCTGGGGCTACTACGCTTATCCCTACTGCTACAATCTGACACCGAACCAGCCCAGCTCGCAATGCGATAGGTCGACCGTGCTGGAGAACGATAAGTACGGGACCATGCGACTGTTCGGCCCTTTGTGTCCTGGATTATGTCACTCCCCGGTTTTTGCCGGTGTCCTTGTGCCGGGTGTTCTCAGATTACTCGAATAACGTCTGTAATTAAACAGCGGATTTCACGATTTCTCGATTCGTTAATACTCAGTGATTGAAATCTCTTCTAATCGATTCGATTGAAAAGAAATCCAAGAGCACTTGGCGCAAGGAGCGTTATACCGAAAGTACGATACCATCAGGATTATTAGCGGGTTAGATAAGGGAACACCAGCAGTATTTGATCAGAGGATTCGTATTAACGCGAAACCCGATTAATGGATAATCGATTGATCAAATCAAATTCCACGGTTTCGCTATACATCAGCCTAGTTACCTTCCACGTGGCGTGTGCTCCAGTTAACCGTCCATGTACACCAAGGACTGGGAACGTAAGCAGATTACTCGTCACGTGTCAAGATCGCCTGAACGGTGCCATTGCCAAGGATCTCCCGCTGAAAATTCAAATAACTCTCCGTTACATCTGTCTTATCTAATCAACTCGCGTCGCGATAACGCCGAACCGACGAGCGACACGCGGCCGCACGAAAGTCCTCCCATTGTCCGTCTGTTTCAGAATGTCATGGCTGTTCGAGCCGGAGGATGTTCTTCTGCCGTCGGTCTATCTGCGGCTCAGTCTGTCCAGCGGCGACAGAGTGGGCCTGGTTGGTGGCAGGGTGAAAGAGGCCCTCCGTATAGCCAGACAGTCGACGCCCCGGAAAAAGATCCTCCCCTATTACTGGTACAAGTACCAGGATCACAGGGACACCTATTTGAATAAGGTGAGCCCTCCGTCCTCGTTTCGAAAACATCCGCCGGGGATCGGGACGATGCGTCACCTGATAAGCGCAGAGGCGAACCCTTGCTGGTCCTCAAAACGCATTATATCTTCGCAGGCTGATCTCGAGGCGACTCTCCGGAAGATCTCGGATCTCGGCGCGGACGGGCTCATCATTTGGGGAAGTTCTAACGACGTCAACACCAACGATAGGTGCCTGCAGTTCAGGGAATACCTGAACAACGAGCTGGGCCCGGCCGTCAGTCGCGTCAGGCAAACCGCGCTCGGCTACATCCACAACGTCGCCGGTCTCGCGAACAATCAGACGAACGTCAGCGTCGATCAAGTATGATTCGCGTGATGTTGTTTCGAGCGGCCGGACGTTCGAAGAGTGGCACGAAGTTCCCCGCGAACTTTGATCCTTGTAATATATTCGAGCCAGCGACTCCGACATTAGAGGCCACTCTCCGAAGGTGTCACGCGAAATCGTGATCGCGCGCGCCCGATCGGTTAACACAGTGATGAACCGTTCGGGGAGGTCCTAACCGCTTTGCGTGTATAATTTACCATGTTACCCGTGACGCGCGCGCGTCGGAGACGGTCGACCTTCGACGGCGAAAGACATAGTACATCGCTGGAGCCAAAGACGAAACCGCGCGAGACGTCAGCGACGGTGGAAATAAATTCCCTGGGGAGCTAACTCGTCTTTCATTCCTCCTGCTACCTGCTCCTGCGCCCGAGGGGGGTGGGTGACACGAAGACTCTCCGGTAGATCGTGGTTCGATACCGATAACGATTGTCGCGGAGAAGACAACTGCGATCAGCAGCCAACGGGGTCAGCGGCTGCGCGTCGACGGACCGTTTCCACCGGCTCGGCAGCGGCGTCGGGACTGTTCGGCGGCGTTCCGCCGCGGCTCCGCGCACTTTAGCACTAGCGTACGACAAGTTTTACTGGTTCGAGGTGTAACGCCTCGGGCGATCTTGCTTTTTACAGTACACGCGACGTCGTTGTAGAGGTA